TCTTTCAACCACTCGGGAGCATCAACAACATCGGCATCGTCGCGCACAGAAGCAGATTCAAGCAGGAGCTCTCCGGTGCTTCCAAGCGGCATGAGAAGCTTCTCATTACCAGGCTGCACGATCCAAGGAATATATTGGACCGTGGGGTATTTGTCGCCGCTGGACAGGAATCGCGAGATGTCCTTGGGAGAGACAGGTGCCTGCTTGTTGGCTTCCCAGATCTCTCCTAACTCTTCTTCACCCAGACATGTGATGTCACTTAATGAGCGCGACACGTCGCCGCGAAGCTGGTTGATAGCAACCTCGAACTGCGACAGCACGCGTTGAACTTGGACGGGGCTGAGAAGCTCCGAGTCAAAGCTTGCCAACAAGCGAAAGCCGGTCTTCTGAAGAGACACAGCCAACATGAGAGGGTACGAGTTGAAGTGCAGGGCCTCAAGAGCGGCATCTCCCCCACGGAAAGAAGGCAGCTCATCGGTTTCTGTCTCAGAAGGCTGGGGGTCTTGAGGCTGGACGACAAGACCCATAGTGACTTCACAAGCAATTTGAGCATCTTCGCTCAGTCGGCGGATATGCTGGATACCAAGATGTTCATGCGCAGAGCGAGCGACACTTTGTTCCTGGACTGCGCGAAGGAACTCTTGCACTGTAGTCGTGCGGTCGAGACGAATGCGAACCGGGACAGTGGCGAGAATGGGACCCTCAATGAGCTCAGCACCAGGAAGAGGAATAGTACGACCCATGAACGTCTCTCCGAAAACAACATCGTCGCTCATGGAGTATTGCGACGCCAGCAGAGCCCACGCAGCTCGAATGACGGTAGCGATAGTGATGTCGGACTTGGCAGCCTTGTCAAGCTTGATGAAGCGCTCAGTCAGAGAGGTAGGATCGGGGATGTAAGAGCGCGATGGCAGGGTTGGGAATTGGGGTCCTGTAGCGCCAGCGAGTTGAGTCTTCCAGTAGTCCTTAGACGACTCGCGTGAGTCTTCGGCAAGGTAGCGAATGAAGTGCTTAAATTGAGCAGGTCGCGATACTTCTTCGCCCTTGTACGCAGCGCGGGCATGCTCGACGATGAGATCTGTAGACCATCCGTCGTAAATGGCGTGGTGGGCCGTCCAAACGAAGTATCGCTTGTCGAGAGCATTGTCGGTGACGATGGCGAAGCGAGAGAGCGGCGCGCCAGGCGACATGGGCTCTTTCTTGTCTTCCTCAAGGAACTCCCCCAGCGAAGACTCAACCTCCTTCCATTGAAGCGATTCATTGACGACAACTTGCATGAAGCCATGCTGCTTGAACTCAACAATGCGGGTGCGAAGGATGGGGCTCTCCTTGTACACGAAATCCCAAGCGGACTTGAGCTTGTCAACAGAACTCGAGGCGGGGATATCGGCGATTCGTTGCGCGACATAGTTCTCCTTCGATCGCGTGTAGAAAGCCATATGAATCTCCTGCATAGGCGCACAAGGGTAAATATCCTCGATCGCACTGAAGTCGCATCCCGATTGCTCAGCAGCCTCAGCGCGCAGGGCATCGCGGTCCATGTTATCCTTCAGCAGAGAGAACTCAGGAATCTGCATATCAACACCCTTGCTCTTATCTCCCTTCTGCATCGACTTTGCCATATCGGCGAGAACAGGGTAATTGAAGATATCAGCGACGGAAAGCGTGTATCCCCAGTCTCGAATGACTGGCACGAGCTTCATTGCAAGAACGGAGTCTCCGCCTGATGTGAAGAAGTTGTGTGTAGTGCTGACTTGCTTTGTCTCAAGTCCAAGCAGGCGACACCATGAGTCGCGCAGGAAGAGTTCAGCCTCAGACTCTGGCTCGCGGATCTCAGAGGACTCATTTGAAGCTGCTGAGGCCTGAAGGTTTGCAGAGATCTCAGCACCGAGGGCGCGAAGAGACTTTCGATCAGTCTTCCCAGAGACAAGGTAGGGAATCTTGGAGAGGGTGATATACGTCGCAGGCACCATGTACACTGGTACGACCTTCGAGAGTCTCTCGTTGAGCGTCTCGAGCGAGTCGCGCAGGCGAGGTGGGAAGTCAATTTGCCGAGCATCGCCATCATCCTTAGCTTCGCGATCAGCGATAAACGCTACCAGCATAGACTCCTTGTTCTGGTTTCTTGGTGCGATGATCTCAGCGACGACTTCAGCGCCCACGGGGAGAAGGTTCTTGATGTGGTGCTCAATCTCTCCTAGCTCTACACGCTGGCCACGAAGCTTGATCTGAGTGTCCTTGCGACCAACGAATACGAAGCCTTTCTCACCGTCTGGATCATATCGGACCAAGTCGCCTGTCTTGTACAGACGCCCATGGCGACCGGGAATTCCACCAGCGCCAGCGAGGAGGAAGTCGGGGTCGTGGATGAAGGCCGCATTCGTCTTCTCCGGATCACCAAGGTATCCTTGGCCGACAATTGGACCCTCAACGAGCAGTTCGCCGACAGCGCCCACAGGAACAAGCTTGTTGTGATCATCGGGATCAACGAGCCAGATACAGGCACCTGTGCCTGGTCCGATACTGACGTACGGCTTGCCCGCTGCGCTGGGGTTGACAGTACATCCAATCGTACATTCAGCGGGACCATAACCAACGACAATTCGAGTATGTTGGCCCCAGATCGCAATATCTCCAGCCGAGCAAGACTCGCCACCGATACCAAGACTGTTAAGCGATGGAATAATATCGGGGTCCAGAATACGTGCGACAGAGGGTGTGATGTTAACCATGTTAACCCTCAAGCGGCGGATCGCACCACTGAGATCATTCACACGGTCCTGATCAGTGGGAATGCAAAGACATCCACCACGAATGAGCGTGCACAGAATACTATCGACACTGACATCGAAAGCATATGATGTAAAATCGAGCGATCGTGAGGTGCTCGAGTATCCAATTCCCGTGCTTCGCGCAAGAGCGCTAGCAGTATATGTTTCGTGCGAGAGCATAACTCCCTTCGGCGTACCCGTACTACCGGAAGTAAAGATGATATATAGGAGAGATTCGGGCGGTACGTCGGGGAGTTTTCGGAGGGGATCTTGGATCGTCTTGGCCAAAGAGTCGAGAGTCGCTGTATCGACAACGACATGCTTTGCGTCGGGTGCGATTTCCGGGCCGTATTCCGCTTGGTCTCTCGAAGTGAGAATATGTGTCGCGTTGACTTGTTGAGCCATAACTTGTCGTCGCTGCATGGGTTGACTGGGATCGTGGAGTGAGAAAGCTGCGCCGGCTTTGATGATGCCCATGACTGCGACTGTCGTCCATCTTGACTTCTCAAAGCACAGAGGTACAATATCGCCGACCTTGACTCCGAGATCAATAAGATGTTGCGCAAGGAGTGTCGATAGTCTGTCAACATCTGCGTATGTGAAGTCGCCATCCCATGAGCAAATGGCTGGCGCATCAGGGCGCCACCTCACTTGCTCAGCGATCAGTGTGTGAATGCACATGGGTACTGGCGGAGGAAGGTCTTTGTTCCAGTTCCATATCACAGACTTGTCCAGCTCGCCTAGTGGTAGGACGGAGCTAATTGTTGCGGTCGAATCGGTGAGTGTCGTGTTGAGAACTTCTACAAGGGCTTGGGCAAAGTGGTTGGCAAGGAACTCTGCGCCTAGAGGCTCGCGCCATGTCAGCCGGAGCCACAGAACCTCGTCTTCTAGTATCGCTTCGATTTGAACGTTTCCCTGTGTCGCACAACCCATTAGTTGGTGGAGATGAGAGGTGAGGCTCATGCGCTTACCCAGTTCACTGACAACTCGCCGTCTTCGGTCACGTTAGTGACGACCTCGCCTGTCGCAGCCTCATCATTGAAGAAGAACTTGTATCCTTTTGTCTCAAAAGGTTGTTCTGACTGTAATTCTTGTTGCAGGTAGTTTCGGAACACCTTCAGCTCCGATGCGACAGAGTCGCTACCATCCCATTGCAGCTTCGATGTGTTGAGGGTGAATGTGCGACACGTTGAAGAACCAATTTCGCTCAAACCCCACGAGAACTCAACATGATTCCCGTGGCCATGACGATACAGAAGAAGCGTCCATGCTAGTAGTAGGATTTCAAGCTCATAGCTATCTTGGTCTTGTTGTTTGCGAAGAACAGGTACGTCATAACGCACACCCTTCGCCCGCGGCTGCGCCGACGACTGAACGTCTCCCATGATGGGCTATTTTGTGTGTATTTGTTTTAATGTTGTATTTGGTGGGCTGGAAGAAGATCCCGCCGGAGACGATGGGAATACAGATGCAGTTTGCAACGACGAGAAACTCTACATGAACGCCTCCACTATTTTATTGCAGAACTGCCAACCCAAACTGCAGGAACACCATTACGTATTGAACAGAGGTTTTCATCCGTCCTGAGCATATCGTATACAAGCTGTGTGGGGGGTAGACGGGGACCTTTGAAGCTTCACTCACTCAGGGTCCCGAGCTTCCCATCATGGGCGACTTCGGAGGGTGTCCGTCTTGGGGTCTCGTCTGCTCATCGGTCGTCCATTGCTGATCTCGGCACGCTAATCCGTGCGTGAATCGATGTGAAGAGGATGAAAGCCCCACGCTCGATGGGCCCCTTGGATACATCCTAGCTTCCCGTGTGAAATTTACGGAACTAGTGCGGCTAAAGAAGCAAGAAGAAGGGAGCGGGAGATGGGTGGCTTCAGTGAGAGGTTGCTCTGCCAAGGCGGTTGTGAATGAGGCTGCTTCTTCAATCAGGGGGGAATACACGTTCGCATGAACGCATGCTGCAGAGCCAGAGCTCTGGTAAAGGATTCATCCGCGTGGTATCGCATGTAGCAAATGGTTCGATGAAAGTGAAAAGGACTGGCCCTGGCTGAAGTGGTCGAGTTGCAGGCCTCTCCACCGCGCCATGTAACAGCGTTGCAACCCAAGAGAAAACAGGGTTTCTCTTCGTCCCGTTACCATACGGAGAGTAGTAATAATCGACATGTCGGCGGGGACGTAGTGGATGAAGTGATGACCCCCATGAAGCCGAGGCGACATTTTTTTCTTTTCGTGTGGTGGGGTGATTGATAAGTTCATTATCTGATCAGATTGACAAGGATCAGTGAATTCTCCACACGAGCTTGCTGGCCATGGCGTCACACCACAAGCCACTGAACAATTTGAACCCGTCTGTAAGGTACTTCTCAGTGTCTGAAACCGCCGTGGCTAGCTCTAATGTGAATTAAGTATGTCGGGCTCTATACTAAACAAAAATATGGAGAGAAAATGCCTCATAAATGCACTGCAATGCATCATAGCTTACTATCCACCCATCTCGGAGCCCTCTTCTCCACAAAGGCCTGCACGCCTTCGTGGAAATTGTGCCCATCAGCCATGATCTTGTCCCACGTCTGACGGTGCACCCGGACTGCATTCTCAGCACTCCCGTGCTCCCAGCCCGCAAGGATACCCGCACGAGACACAATAACACTATCGGGGCTATTCTTGATAATGAGCGCAGCGTACTCCAGCGCCTTTTGCACCACTGGTCGCTCCAGCACATCGCTGTCCGGTGGGGCGTCTTCAGTAATGGCGTTGAGAAAGCCAAATTCGCGGGCCTCTGCAGCACTGATGCTCCGCCCTGTGAGAGCCATTTCAGTGGCGCGCGGGCGACCAATTGTTCTTGCTAGTCTTGGTAGAGAGCCTGCATTAGCAACGACACCAATCTTAGCCTCAGGAAGAGCAAAGGTAGCGCTCTTCGCAGCGACAATGAGGTCCAGATTGGCGATGATCTCGAAACCGCCTCCCATCGCCAGACCATTTACAGCGGCGATAATGGGTTTCTTTCCGCTCCTACGCGAAAGGCCGCCAAATCCCGTCGTGGGCGGGTCCATGGGTCTCTTCTCGGGAATTCCGTCTCGTTTGCGCTGATTGATCTGGTTCCATTCCTTGAGGTCCATGCCAGCGCAGAATGCACGCCCAGCGCCTGTGACGATGGCGCAGCGCAGTGAGGGCTCGTCGTCGTACCACTCCCAGAGAGCTTCGAGCTCATATTCTGCGTCGCTGGTCATTGCATTGAGGGCTTTGGGTCGGTTGAAGACCATGAGCATAACGTGTTGTGCTGGGAATGACACGAGGCCATAGCTTTGGGCTGGTGGTTGGCGATTGAACGTGTGTTGCGCCATGGCGATCGATTTGCTGAAGGATTGTGGATGGTGTATGCTTCGGTGAGTATGCGTTTATGTGTTGCACTCGGTGATAAAAACAGGCCGGCAGGGTTTATCTGATGAAGCCGAGGATGCTCAATGGCCAGCACTTTTTGATGATTCTGTTCAGATCAGATAAAAAAATGGTGCAATGTGACCCAAGCCGGCGTTAGAGTTCCAGAAGGGTTCAGTTGAAAAGATCCCTGCTCCTCGATCGCTGGCACGCCCCCTCCAGCGCGTGGCACCTGGTCGCTTTGGCGTCGAGCTACGGAATGAACCGTTTGAGAATCTAATCAATCACATCTGATAATCCAGGGCAAACATGGCAATCATGCATCACATGCTGCATTCTAGGAATTTCTTTTTCATGATCGTGCATGATGCTAGCGTAGCACCGAGATCGGACAGTTGAGCAAAATTTTCATGGGAGCTATGACATTTCCAAGAGCTTGGGGGATGATCACTGCCAGCTCTGACGTGAAGAAGGCTGGGCCAAGGAGCTCCAGCAGAACTTCATTCACTGCGCCTTCAAAGACTCGCAACAGAATACTTGCAAGGGCCGAAAAACACCATGTAAACGTGAATCTCACTGCCTTGGCAACGGTTTGTGTTTTTCCTTTTTCCACTTACGCCCAAATGTGGCTCTCTTGGCTGACAAGCATGTCCCGGTGCTATCGGTAGTTGGGAGCAAGCAAGCCACTGTTTCCCTCCGAACCGAGACCGCGCCTTTCTCGCCTCGACAAGAATGATATCGAATTCACACACGAGTCAATGGCCCCGTGATTGGGCATGAACAATGAGCGATATATGCATCGAGGCCCTAGATCAACTCTTGAATCAGCGGCTGAAAACAAAAGTGAGAGCGTGATGCGGTGCGAAAGCTGAGGGGGCGCTGGCCAAGCAGGGGCTTTCGCGATCGCAACAAGGCCTGCGAAGCACAGTATTTCGGCTACTTTTTTTTTCTTTTTTCTTGCGCATTGAATTGTGTTTGCAAGGTCATGTTTGCTTCAATATTTTCCATTCACCTCCTCGTGATGCTGCGAGAGCTTGCGCAACGGTCCAATTGATCGTGGGGGCAGCTGGTGACGACCTGCATTTGTGATGTGGTCGGCGGTAGCGCTGGAAGAAGGCCGCAGTTTGCGCAATCAAGTGATTCGAGCAAAGTACTTCTTTCCGATCGCTTCCAAAGACTCAAAAGTCAAGTTACTTCTACGTTTGTTCGCGTGGGGGACTGATGGAGGCGTTTGTCGAGCATGCGGTTCCGTCGCGTGTGTTGCGCTGTTACGCGACCAAGAGTCAACAACTCTCTAGGTGCTGCGTGACCATGGCTTCGTAGACATTCCATTCGAGCCATAATTCTACCAAACAGCCTCGCGTCACAGTTAATAACTCACCTGGGTTCTGATTACACCGTTTGGAATCTGCCTTCCAGCTTGTGATGGCACGTATCGTAGCCTGTTCGGTGGCGCATGCAAGCAAACCACTGGAAATTCGTGTATTCGATCAACTCGACACATCAAACCAAGTGATTTACCGCTCTGCTTCGCTCGGCCGTACAAAAATAGTAATCCCCATTGCATTGCCAATTATGCACCCAAGTTCATACCCAACGAGTCGTTGCATCGGTTTAATTGTAACGTCTTTTGTTCACCATCTGCATCGCCAGACTCCTACCCTAAGCCTCGTAGTGATGCTTTAGCTTCAAGCCATCTGTCGCCGGGTACTCGCGATTCGCAGGACGTATCAATCTAATCTAATCTGATTGATGGCAAAAATTGATTGATTAGAGCTCGGCAAGCCGTGTTTCGTAGTGGTGAAGCGAAAGTCGGTGGCGTGAATGTCATCCCGGGACCACCAAGAACGAGCCAAGCTTTCATGCAACCTCCGTGCACTACGGCTTTCGTGACGTCGGAGGCCATTCGAAGCGGATTAAAGGGATAAGTTCTTATAATCGAGGAATGAGAAGAACTTGACGCAAGTTAGATAATACTTTCCATCATTCTATAGGGTAGAGCTTGCAGACACCTCGATACTTCACAAGCTTCACCAACACCAGACGAAATTTCTCAGCATGACAGCGAGCAAAAAACTCAGAACCCCACAACAGCTTCCTTTCTAAATCTCCGCGCCTCAAATTAGCGTACATCCCATCCACTTGGCCCTAATTAGCGTCTACTTAGTGGCATGATCCCACTGCAAAGCTCGCAGGGACCGCGGATAATCGGCACAGACCGGATTCAACACGACGTCTTCGACCACGCTTCCAAGCTTTACAAGACAGACTCCCCTCCCCTGCCCTGCTTCCCTCGGCTTGTCCACTTCACGGTAGGCATCGGGATATTCGCCGTCTCGAGCAAAGATGGAATACATCTTATCTAATCTGATTGGGCCAAGACCCTTCTACACCGAGATCGGGGTATAAATAAAATCTGGAGAGAAAAAGAACAAGTTCAGTCAGTAGTCACAAGCCAACAACCAACAATCATGTCTTCAGAACCATTCCAGCAAAAGTCGCCAATCAAGATCAGGCTCCCTCTGCCTTATCTGTCCACTTACTACCTCGAGCGTACTGCTGAGGGTAAGCAGTCGTATCGTCTGCGCAAGGACGACTCCGTCACAGAGGGCAAGCCTTTCCCCAAGGCTCTGCACGCAGATGATCTAGTTTTCTCCAAGATTCCCGCTGTGGAATCTGATAAGATCCCTGATTCTGATAACCGCGAGTATGCTCGTGCCAGAAGAAGTCCTGTCTGGTCGTTGAGCTGGGAGAAGCAGACTCCTACTCTTGCGCAGACGTGGATGTTCCTCTACACTTTCTTCACATATCACTTTGATGTAGAGCAATTCCGTCTTCGCCTTGAGGGCGCTGGCGCTGAGGATCTGGCCAAGGAGCTGGTCCTCTCCATGGTTGCCATCAACATGCCTCCTCCTCCCAAGGGCGTTGAACCCGCGCCCAGCACGGGCGTTGAGGTTCTCATTCTTCGCAGCGCGTTCTGGCAGGGATGTGCCTCTCCTTTGGGTCAACAGCCCATCTGGCTTCCTACCTGGAACTCCGCCAACGTGGTGCCTCATCTGGAGTATGTGATGACGCCCACCTCTGAGTCCACTCTCCTGCGTCACCCGCGCCGAACACCCAAGCCTGCGGCCGGTAGTTACATCTACAGCCGGTACATCCCATCTCTTGACGAGCACTTCAACCTCGTCGCTCTTGACTACGAGAACCCCGAACACCTGGGTCTCTTCAACACATGGCAGAACGACCCTCGTGTCGCTGCTGGATGGATGGAGACAGGTACTCTTGATGAGCATCGCGCATATCTCAAGAACATCCACGATGACCCTCATCAGTTCGCTGTCCTGGGTTACTTCAACGACACACCTTTCGCCTACTTTGAGCTGTACTGGGCCAAGGAGGACAAGATGGGTCAGCACTACGCCTGTCTTGACTTTGATCGCGGCCGACACTCACTCGTCGGTAACGACAAGTTCCGCGGACAGTATCGCGTTATGGCATGGTGGCCCAGTGTGATGCACTACGAGTTCCTCGATGACCACCGCACTGAGAACGTCGTTGGCGAGCCTCGTCTCTCTAGCGAAAACGTTCTTAAGTATGAGATGATCTTTGGTCTTCACCAAGACAAGTGGATGGACCTGCCTCACAAGCGATCCAACCTGGTCAAGATCTCTCGGGAGCGCTTCTTCCAGATCTGCCCCTTCAATCAGGGCAAGCCTCGTGTCGCTGGCACGACCTTTGGCTTTGAGCCCAAGCTGTAAATGAATGGGAAAATGTCTTTAAAAGTTGTTGGATTGGAAATTTGATAGCCATTGGATAGTAAAATAATGCTAGCGACTCGTTTATCATCAGTCAATTTTTATTATCGCTGTTGTTCGTTCTTACAACCTCTTGGCGACGGGCTGTGACGTTTGGGCATGAGTGAAGCGGTTCACAATTGACAATTCGCACTCCAACGGGAATAAATCTGCCAAGATAATGGCCAAGCGGTGATCCGATCTTACCGATCAGGAATCCTTTGACACGCTGCCAAGGCGCAACGGCATTGCCGATCCTGTTGATCAGCTTCAATTACATGCAGAGGTTGCGATTGAAGATCAACGTTCTACAGCGAGGTATCTTGTAATCTGCCGATTTCACCAGCCGCAAACTCTGGATATAGCAATTCCATTGCAAGGTAATCAAGCCAACGGGAGATACAGCTAGAATGAGCTTCGGAACATTGGTCGGCTGTTGTTCGCTTCCGGAAATGTCATGAATTACCCTCTCGTGACACGGAGCTAGCGTGGGGGACCCTTTTCTTCATTACGGCTCCCGTCTTTTTTACGCAAATGAGCTCCGAAAACTGGATGAAATTGCGCCGGTTGCAGCCGTCATTTAAGCTTGTTTAAGCGGCAGATAAACTGCGTCGAGGCTTGCAGCAACGAGATCGCGTGCCTCGCCCAAACTTTGTTTTCTCACCAAAGCACAAACAGTTGGCCGAGCAAAGAAAGCCCATTCCTAGCTTCAGGGGTCTGGTCTCACGACCTTCAGTGGAGTGACTCTCCTCCCACAACCCGCGGCTCAAGCGGTTGAGGCACCGACCCCTGGAGGACTTGACCCCTTGTGGCGTTTGGTCCGCTGGTTGTGAGGCCAGAATCAAGCCTCGTTATGCAGTCTTGGCCATAAATGGGCATGGTCTGTAGGGCTACTGATGATGAGCAATGGAGCTGTATTTGCCAAGAGGAAGTTATTGATGATTGCCAAGAGAGAAATATGGGCTTTTTACGGCGAGCTTCCGATGGGTTTTTAGTTTGCCAAGCGCGGAACGTCGACAGCTGATGCAGGGTTTTTTTTTTAACGACGTCTTGGAGTGTTCCGACGTGTTGGCTGAACATGACAGAACACGCCTGATGGGAATCCTTGTATCGTGGTGCCAAGATCACGCAGTTGGTTGGCTCTAGGTAATACAATCCCACGCCAGAGGCAAAGGCTGAAGGAAGTAGTGAGATGCGAAATGGGGGGGCTCCGCTGTAAAAGCGGAGGTTACAGTGAGGCCTCAGTGACTCTCAGCGAACCCTGTCTTGTTTACAAAGCGATGCTGCAAAGCGCATCAAGATTGAATAAGATCCCACAATACGATAGATACAGTACAACACGGCTCAAAGCCAACAGAAGCAATTTCACCGATGAAGCACAAACTTTGATTCGATCTAATCGATCAATCAGATTAGATAATGGAAATCTCTGCTTTGACGCCCTCCGAACTGAACCCCCCACTTACAAACCCGGTAACTCGTGCGTTCCAGGCCTGTGCTAACGACAAAGTGGCTGCAGCCGCTGGATCCCTCGCGTTCCGAGAATCTCCAGTCTGTCACTTTCTCTCTGTTTGTTGGTTCCCAATTCCCAATTGCCCTAAACGAGCCCGATCTCGGTGGATTTGGCCACCTGAGAGACCTGATCTTATCTGATGGAAAGTGGATTGCGTCTAATATCCTTCACAGTCTAGCCAGAAAGCACCCTTGCTCTAGACAACTGCTTTAAAATTTTCCCTGTCAATTTAAACTTATAACCGTGTGCTCTTCCCTCCCATGATCTGCTGAGCCTCTCTTTCTTCCTTGTCTTCCCAAAGCTTAAGCTTAAATTTTATCCTCCTAAAGACAAGATCACCATGGGAGCTCTCGACAAGTTCCTTGGGCGCAAGGGCAATGAGGGTGATGCCGCTGAGGCACCCGTCACTGTCACTGCTGCCATGAACGAAAAGGACCAGGAGGCTGGCAAATATCCTGATGAGACTGGTAGCGCCAGCGATGCTGTTACTGAGAACGCGCAGCATGGTGTCAAGACCGTTGAGGCTACAACTCTGGCCTGGAGCAAGAAGGCTCTTGCTGGCGTCTTCGTTTTGTATGTCTTCGCCTTGTCGTAATTGAAGTCGCAAACTAACGATCTTGCAGCATGTGGTTGATCTACCTTACAAATGGTTTCCAGAGTCAGATCAATTACACTCTTGTTCCCTACGCCAGCAGTGAATGGGAGTCTCACTCTCTCATTCCCGTCATTGGCATCGTCGCCAACTGCATGACTGCTGCTGTCTACATTCCTCTGTCCAAGATCCTCGATATCTGGGGCCGTGCTGAGGGCTTCCTCCTCATGGTCATTTTTGCTACTGTTGGTATGATCATGATGGCTGCTAGTCATAACCTCGCCACCTACTGTGCCGCTGTCGTGAGTCATCTCCGGTCCCTAGCAACGACAAACGTTTACTAATTGCCCTAAAGGTCTTCTGGCAGGTTGGCTGGTCCGGTCTCACCTACAGTATCGACGTTATCACGGCCGATTCCACACAACTCAAGAACCGAGGTCTTGCATACGCCTTCACCTCTTCTCCCTACATGATCACCGCCTTCGCTGGTCCCAAGTCTGCCGAGGCCTTCCTCCGAAACGGTGACCAGTGGCGATGGGGCTTTGGAACATTCTCCATTGTCCTTCCCGTCGTCGCCATCCCCATGTACATTCTCCTGAAATACAACCTCCAGAAGGCCAAGAAGCAGGGACTCCTTGTCAATGAGTCTAGCGGTCGATCTTTCTTGGAGAACATCAAGTGGGGACTCATCGAGTTCGATGCTGCTGGTGCTTTCTTGTTCGCCGCTGGCCTTGTCATCTTCCTCCTTCCCTTCTCCATTGCTAGCAGCGCCCCTAAGGGTTGGGACACCCCCTACATCATTGCGATGATCATTTTGGGCGTCGTTCTCTTGGCCATCTTCGGTGCTTACGAGCGCTTCGTTGCCCCTAAGCCATTCCTTCGCTTCGAGCTCCTTACCAGCCGCACCGTTATCGGTGTCTGTCTTCTGGACTTCATCTACATGATCGCCTACTACTGCTGGAACAGCTACTTCACCTCTTTCCTCCAGGTGGTCAATAACCTTTCTCCCTCCACAGCTGGGTATGTCAGCAACACCTTTGAGATCGTCTCTGGTGTCCTCCTCTTCATTGTCGGTTATGCCATGCACAAGACCGGTCGCTTCAAGTGGATTCTGTGCGTCGGTATTCCTCTGTACATGTTCGCCCAGGGTCTCATGATCTACTTCCGTCGCCCTGGTCAGTCCATCGGCTACCTTGTCATGTGTGAGGTCTTCATCTCCATCGCTGGCGCTACCTTCATTCTTTGCATGCAAGTCGGTATCCTCGCTGCCGTCGAGCACCAGTATGTCGCTACCGCTCTGGCTACCCTTAGCGTCACTGGCAACATTGGATCTGCTGTCGGAAACACCATCTCTGCCACTATCTGGACCAACACCTTCTACAAGAAGCTCGCTGAGTATCTTCCTGAGTCCGCGCAGGCTGATATCGACGCCATCTATGAGTCTCTCGACTCCCAGCTGCTCTATGAGCCTGGTAGCCCTGAGCGCCTGGCTATCCAGAAGGCTTACGGTTATGGCCAGGCTCGCATGCTTGCTGCCGGAACCGGTATCATGGCTGTTGCTCTTATCTCGCTATTCTTGATCAGGAACTACGATCTCAGGAAGATCAAGCAGACCAAGGGTACTGTCTTCTAAGAGACTGGATTATCTTGGATTATGCGGTCAGATTGATCTCAAACAAAATGATGGTGGAAGAGTAAATGTTGTATGATGTTATATATCTAGTACCTAACAGACAATCGTAATAAATGATGGGGACATTGTGGCCCTAACAGAATGGTATTGTATGCCTTCTTATTTATCTTTCAAGTTCCAGTAATATGTGAAGATCGCTTGTGATCTTGTCCCAGTCGTTAGACTTGTCGCTGAGTCGTCAGGATGGTGCAGTTCATGGGGTGAAGTGAGCTGGTGCATCCTCGGAAGGCAAATGTATCATCGACGACACTACTTGGCATCGCGCGACCACTGAACCATTTATGTTTTACAATAATGGAAAATTTTAACCATTGAAGTATCGCCTTCTGCTGTTTCGCGACGTTGATCTCGGACAGAGGGCTGCCAAAGTAGATCGACATCGCACACACACTCATCCAACAACATCACCTATGAAGAGTTTGTACGATGTGCGCACTTGCATGCGCCAACTCTAATTCAAGTCTATCAATTCTATCTTCAATTATATTTAAATTTTGCCCAGAATGAACTGCATGAGTCCCTGCTGAAGACCCGTCACCGCAACACTTCCGTGATCCTCGCCCTCAAACTCACGGGTCCAGATCTTCTTGACACTCGGACAATCCTTCAGTCGCGACACCAAAGCTGTTGCGCTTGGCTTCATCTTATCGTCTTCCGCACAGTTCTGTCTCTTGTACCACTTTTCATCGTCATCGTCAGGGTCCCTTACCAACTCTGACTTGCCGGTGCCCCATGTAAGAGCCAGCGAAAATGGAGGGTCGACGGGCTTGTCGCGTGCAAGAAAAGCAGTCTCACGCTCGCGGATCAAAAAGTCCTTGTTCCACCAAATAACTGGACTAGCAGCGATGTAAGTGTTAAACAGCTCTGGTTGCGTGAACATGGTGTTGAGAGTGAAGATGCCACCGTATGAGTGGCCAAATAGGGCTTTGCGACCGGTATGAAGATTGGCCTTGGGGAAGAGCGTGTCTTCAACGTAAGGCATAACATCGGCTTTGATCCAGTCGAGAAATTCATTGGCTTCACCAAATGAGATGTCTGTGCGAGGCTTGCCATACCTGTCGAGCGGCATGTCGTACTCATCGGCAGGTGGTGTAAGATCCGGCCCACGACGGAAGTCGTAGACATATTTGCTGGGCGGGTATCCAATACCCACCACGACAGTTCTTGTGCTGTTCAAGTATTCCAAACGACGGGAAACATCAACAGCTGTGAAGAAATAGGCATTGCCATCAACAAGGTAGCTGCGTGGTGATTAGGTACGGTCTTTTTGGGGTAAGGCGAAGCACTACTCACACCAGATTGACCACTTCATTCTCAGAGGCAACGCGATCTTCACCCCAGCACAAAGGCCATGCTACTTGCACAAGGTAATCTCCTCTCTTTGTCTTGGCAAGCCACTCAAGGGTATTAGGGACACGAGCGTGTCCATGGCTATGATCGGTAGTCATTGTTTTGTTGTGAATGTGAATAAGACTTCTTGGTGTTAATAGCGACAATAGTGGGCGGGCGCGCGTGAGACAACGCAGCATGACATGCAGCGACAGCAGACTAAGGTAAGACGAGTCAGTGACTGGACTGGAACTCAAGATCTGATAAACAGAGAAAAAGATCTGATAAAAAACGCGCATTTACTATGGGTCCTTTATGGCGTCAGTGCGACAGCGGTATCGGATCAAGGCTTTGGGCGGTTATGCTCGGCAGAACCCACTGACAATTTACCATTTGACACGAAGCAATGTAACGGTGTTGGCATCTAGATGATAGTTCTTCTACCGCTGATATTGCCATAGCGTGATGCGCAGTGGTAAAGCTATGGTCCTGACGTTGCCAATCTTCTGCCAAGCCGACAAGCGACGCGCACCAGCTCGCTGGCGGAAGCACGCTGCTTCTCAGCGATTGGTGAACTTCTAGAGATAATGAATGGTGCCGGAGATAGCAGTCTATTCAGTTGTCCATAGAGATGCCAAGTTGGACGTTTGGGAGCATAACATAGGTATGGTGAGCAATGCCTCTAAGGCCATGCACGGCGATGCCCTCGCATACCGCTTCAATAGTCACGTCTAAACCACCTTTGTGACAGCTGGTCAGTCGCATATTAAGCATTTGACAAGACTCGGTCTATCCGTCCTTAGTATAGCAGAACAAGAGAGCCAAGGCGCAGGGATGAATCGCCAGCTTGAGTCCTGACTGAGTGAGAAACAGTGCTTCGAGATGCGATGCTATTCATGCTTATACCTACGAGTCGTAGCCTAATAACTTCATCAATTGATCTAGGATAAACCTTAGTACTGGATAGAGGGTGGAGACTCATAATCCTCCAATGTTTTGTTGTATCGCAGGTCTGCTTCCGGAGTTCTCTCCTGTTGCATCAAGCTGTGTCTTCGCAGGGCTAGGGGCGGAACTTACAAGCCGAAAGCCCGAGAAAACTGCCATCGAGTCAATCAACTGGATCTGTTTAAACCTGATGGTCGGGGAATATTGAAACCTCTTGGCCAGCAGGGCTTACTGCAGCCCTATGAAACGGACCCGTAGGATCATCCCAGGACTGGTGCTACCCACTACCGATGCCCCTTGGCACCTTTGATGGAACTGCATGCATTCATATGCAAGATTTAGGGTCCTAGTCTGGGGAGTGATCTTCTTGGAGGTGTTATAGTCCCACCAATGTGTATGGATGGTAGCAGTGTGATGGATCGAAGCCTGCTCGATACCCTGACTAGGCTGCGTCGCCCGAGCAGCCTCATTGCCATTCTCACAGGTATTATTCGAAAGGGAGATCCCATGGATTCTATTGAATGGTATTGGAGACAATGCATCCCCCCGCTTCAGAATGCCGTATAATGCATGCCAATGGATCGTAGGTGCACCTGCAAGTCCAGATTCACCACGTCGGAACCCAGGAAGATTAGACACCCCTTCCGTGATCCCATCGGTAGAATTTCTTATGATGATTCCGATATGGTATCATTGTATGCAGACTGCACCCATCAGCTGAAGGGGACTCGCATCGGTCCATGACCGATTTGAGTGTTATAAGTCCAACGTGTATTAGGACATTCGTTCCCTTCCACAAATGAAAACACGTGACATTTTAGGATACCGTGTGCTTTAAAAGGTAATATAACGATCGAAAATATGAAGTCGTGTAAAGCGAAGGGAAACTGGTGTACTGATGCAACAGGATGAAGCTCAATCTGCCAGACCTCAGGCAAATACGTGTCGTAATTCAACGACACGGCCAGGGCAAAACTTAAGAACTTATTCGAGTCAACACGACTAACTGAGGCGCTGTAACTCAGATTTCGACGCAATAATTCGCTGTGTGGCGATTTCGAGCGTGGTGACTCAGCTCTTGGTTATTTGTCCAGCGATCATGCTTTGACATTCTGTAATGGTTGCCAGAACGTACAGTGTTTGGCTTTGGGCTTGCAAACTACTACAACTGGCTGGATAGGCTCTCTAATTGATGAATGGTATGTGAAACGAGTTATTCGCTACGCATGCAACACCCAGTTGTTGGACAAGTCTGAGTTGATCGTGAAGCGATGGATTTGCCAGGGCTCATGTTGATGATTGCAGGGACTCTCCCCAACTAAAAACCTTTGGTGAGATGGCCGAGTTGGTTATGGCGCCAGGTTAAGGTTAACCTTAACACCAATTTCCTGGTGGAGCAATCCTCCTGGGTTCGAGTCCCAGTCTCATCAGTTTCTTTTGCTCTTTGCAATAAATGGCGATCTTTTTGCCAGTCAAATGAGGCGATTGATTCAGGTTGCGATGTTAACAGTATGAGCAAACTTTGTATGGAGCGGTTACCTGAGCCAAGCCGAGGCGGGGGACCGTTCGAAAACTTTGGATGGCAGCGACAGCTACAGGGCTCTTAGTGACTTTAGACCACTGAAGGCCCCATAAGTTACGCGCAACAGTCGTTCATGGTTTTTTGCGATGCCATCAGAATCATCACAATATGCCGCACCGTGAATAGCTGAAGACTGTTAATTGTCCAATATCAAGTAGTCACATGGGGATTTGAAGCAAATTTGTGAAGTCAATCATGTTTGTTTAAAGAAACAGACTCATTTTAGAGTCATCAAGATGGTCTATCTGAGAAGCTGTCCTGAGACAATGGTTTAAAGTTTGTACATGGTAATGAGATCTTGATCAATTCCGCCTTCGTGGTATTTCCACTCCTTTTGCAATACCGTCTTTCTACAGGCGACGGTGGTGGCGGCGCTGTCGCATAGACCTCTTGCACTTCGAAGGCCTCTTGGTAGCGACAGGAGTGCTGATAGCAGTAGTAGGAACGGGGACAGTGCCGTTGCTGGGAACAACAGGGCTGGCAGCACCATTTCCGCCGCCGAGGATCTTGGAAGCGGCATGCTCAGCAGCGACCATGATGATGGCCTGGGTGTTGCCAGTAGGAAGATCAGGGTGGATGGAACCGTCAACGACGAACAGGTTCTCAGTACCCCAAACCTTGGTGTCAGTATCGACAACGCTGGTACCATCGTTCTCAGTGCCCATGACGGCAGAGCCAACAAAGTGAGAACCGCTGACGTACTCGGCCATGAGGCTCTCGGCGGTAGCGTTGCTGGCGATGCTGAGGGTGCTGTTGGGCTTGGAGGCAAAGCTGATGAGCTTGTTCATGAAGCTCTTGACAGCCTCCTTGTCGCCTGCAGTCTTGAGGTAAGGCTCGCCGACAAGCTTGGTAGCACCAGAGCTGGTGACGGTAAGAGAACCGCTGGAGGTAGCACCGTGGGTGAGGTAGACCTTGACCTTGACAGCATCGTCACCAGCGGCGGCACAAGTACCCTGGACGTATCGCTCGATACCATCGGAACCCTTGACAGTGTCCCAGAAGATGAAGCGCTGGCCAGATTGAGCAAGAAGACCGTCGCCCTGGGCGAAAAGATCAATGTTGGTCTGGCTGGGCTTGGTGAAGTCGGTCTCGCTCAGAGCTGACATGGGCTGCTTGGTCTTCATCTTGACGGTGAAGATAGGGTGGTCCTTGAGGTTCTCTCCGACGGGGAGGTTGAGCCACTGATCCTTAGCGGGCATGGTGAGGCGCTGGCTTCCGCTGGCAACGGCTTCAATCTGCTCAGAAGGACCAATACCAGAGTTGACGAGAAGGCGGGGAGTGGCGAGAGCACCGGCCGCAAGGACGACGGCACCGTTGGACTTGAGGTTGATGATCTGGCGGGTAGAAGGACCGGACTGGACCTCAATACCGGTGACAGCCTTGCCCTCTCGAATGACACGAAGGACCTTGGTGTTGAGCTGGAGCTTGAAGTTGCTGTTGGCCTGGGCAAGAGGGAGGTAGTCACGGACGGGACCAGCGCGGAGACCGTCGTTGACCATCAAAGGAGGGTGAGTGAAGACAGACTTCTTCTTGCTAGGCTCCTG